TCGGGCCTAGACCCTTTTCTGATGAAGGGTCTAGGCCCGAAACGTCAGCCTCTCTGCTCCTATGATGCTGCTTGGCCTGCTGTGTTCATCCAGCCCTGCACCTTGTTGTCTCGGATTCTCCAGCATCTGCAGTTCCTACTATTTCATGAGGAATAATAGCATTGTTCAGAATGCTTAACCTTAGGTTAATTTTCTGAAATTCTTACAACTTGCAGGTGACTTTAACTGTATCAAAAGATTCTCATGGAGGTGTCCCAATCTGGGTGATTATACTCAGTGTTCTTGCTGGCCTACTGCTTCTAGCACTTGTAATATTTGCACTGTGGAAGGTAAGTTCATCTTGCATTATACTCAACTTGTATTGTAGTTACTTCAATCAACCTGTTCAGACATGCCTCCAGGTTAGGTAAGACTTGAACCCAGACCTCCATCCTCTGAGGCCTACCACAAAAACAGAAATTGCTGGAGAAGCTCAACAGATTGTAGTATATGTGGACAGAAAACAGAATTAATATTTTGGGTCCAGTGACCTTTCATCAGAATTGTCAGCAGCTAGGAAAAGGTGGTATTAATACTGAAGACAAAGTTGGGGGCAAGGGGAAGGGTGAGCAAATAGGTGGATACAGAGTACAGGGAGGGAGAGATATAAAAGATGTAGGTATACAAGGAGATAATGGATAGCAAGCCAGGACAGGAGCAAAGCTGAATAAGTAAGAAAAGTGGTTGGCACAGTGGCTCACAGTGTCATGCGTCCGAGTTCAATTCCACCCTCAGGTGACTGTCTGTGTGGAGTTTGTACATTCTCCCCGTGTCTGCGTGGGTTTCCTCCAGATGCCCTAGTTTTCTCCCACAGTCCAAAGATGTGCAGGTTCGGTGGATTGGCCATGCTTAACTGCCCATAGTGTCCAGGGGTGTGCAGGCTAGATGGATTGGACATGGGAAATGCAGGATTACATGGCAGGGAGTGGATCTGGGTGAGATGCTCTTCAGAGGGTCAGTGTGGACTCGATGGGCTGAATAGCCTGCTTCCTGTTAGGATTCTAGGATAATAGGGAACAGTAGGAAAGAATGGGTCAGCTCTGCATAAAGCAATTCATTTAAAGTGATAACAGACCAAGGAATAGGTGAGAATGGCTGGTTGTGCTAAAAGCAACCCATGTCATAACAGGACCAGGCTGTGTGTCTTGAGAACTTCTCCTGGGACGATCAGATTCTTTCTGGAAGGTGTTGTGTAAGGAGCGTTGGTGTATTTCTGTAATGTATGTACATGCTGTTATTACAGCACACTGGTGAATGAAGGATTGAAGATTGTTGAAAATTCTTCAGCTTTATCTTTTACACTGATGTGCTGGGCTCCCCACACGTATAGAGCCTCCACTTCCAGGTGACTTGTTCAATTGTCCACGACTCAATGTGGCAGGACTGCAGAGTTTAGATCTGATCTGTTGGTTGTGGAATTGCTTCAGCCTGTCTCTCACTTGTTGCATATGCAGTTTGGCATCCAAGTAGTCCTGTTGTGTAGCTTCATCAGGTTGAAACCTCATTTTTTAGGTACGCCTGGTGTTGCTCCTGACATGCCCTCTAGCATTCTTCATTAAATTAGGGTTGATCCTCTGGCTTGATGGTAATGATAGAGTGCTCTGAAGTTGCACATTCCACTGGAGTACAATTCTGCAGTTGCTGATGACCCACAGTCTCTAGGATTCTTCATCTCAAGTTGCCTATTTGAAGTCTGTTCCTTTTAACATGGCATTAGTTCCACACAATGTAATGTAAGGTATTACCAGTATAAAGGTGAGACTTGTCTCCACGAGGACTATGGTCACTTCTACCAATACTATATTTTAAATACATGTCATGTTATGCATTTTCTGGTAAGTACAAACACAGGTTTGTATATTTTCCATATCAACCTGTTCATTAGATGTTATTACGCACCACTAGAGGAGATGAGACTTGAACCTGGGTCTTGTGGCTCAGATGTAAGGGCACTACTATCAAGCCACAAGAAACCACAATGTTTGGGAGTTTGAGTAGATATTTCTTAACCGAGCTGTTCAGATGTGTTATGACACTACTCTGGAGCACGTGAGTTTTAAACTCAAGCCTTCTGGCTTACAGGTAGTGACACACAGATGTGCACAAATGTCCTTATACACAGGATATACATTGATTTCAGCCCCTCCCTGTATTATAGTGGGAGGGTGTTAGCTTGTGGCCTTCCCTCATCTCGTACTTGCAGTGTCTGCCCAAGCTTTTAGTGCATCCCTTTGAACAAAATTCTGGATCTTGGAAAATGCCAGACTGATAAATACAGAATTCCTCCCCAGAAATATACTTTATTTGTAACGTTCATAAATATATATATCACATTGCAGTTAAAATTTGACATTACAAAGTGAATTACAGTTAATTTATGTCAGTATAAGAATAGATAAAGTTGTGGTCTCCACTGACACATTTCAACCCGTCAAATTCCATCCTCCCTTGCTCTGGCTCTTCATTCCTAACCTGCCATATTGAAAAGCAGAGCTGGCTCATTTCCTGCTTAACATTGCTGTTCCCACTCCTCCCAGGTATCAGCAAGGGAATGATGGTAATACGCTTTGAGCTAGTGATAATAAGAATGTAAGATATTGTAAGATGGGAGGGGCCTTACAGTGGCAGTTCTGTCTCTATAACAGTCCCATCACCAACCTTTATTAGATTTCAATCAATATCTAAAATGAATTACATTTATTTCCTAGCTGGGCTTTTCTGGTCAGTTTAAATCCCTTGCTTCTGTGAGGGCTTTACTGTATTGTCATGGAACCTAATAACACGGTCATTATAGAAAGGGCAGAGGTTGCATTAAATTGAATGCATTGATATATGTTTATTTTACTTTTAAATGTCCACCAAAAACCCCAGGCTTCTTCAGTAAAAAGAGGAAACTATGCAAGCATAATCCAGCATTTACCAGTTCTATAAATGTCTACACTTAAATCTTAATTACTATAAAGTAATGATTGTTGTCATAATCTACAAACTTTGATTTCTTTCTAGGCTGGATTTTTCAGAAGACCTTTAAAAGAAAAGATGTGAGAAGTTCACAAACCAGTCTTAGAAGCACAGTAGAAAACAAAGCCTTTAATATCACAACAATCCATCAATATTATGGAAGACATAATAAAAGTTGTAAAATTATGTTCATGAAAGTAATTTACGTGTCTTGCATGAGAAAAATGTTATCCAAACTATTCATTTGTTAATATTTTGTATATATTTAACATTTTTAAAAATTGCTAAAAGTGTGTTTGTACATTTTAAACTGTTTGAAAGTCTTTATATTCTATGCATCATTCAAGTTGATTATTTTTAAGTATCACAAAGTTATACCTATCCTCCTTTGGACAGTTACTTAAACTATAACAAATAATGATCACTCCCCTTTTTGCTGGATGGCAAAAAGATATTTTTCCTGGTGCTTGTAGATTTTTCTTGGTATTGTCAGATTTAAAGATCCTGCTCAGTTGCTGTAGTGATTATGTACTTTGGAAGATGCTTTTTGTTTTTGTAGATTTAAAACTGTTGTCATAAAATTTTTCACATTTAGAAGCAATTGCAAGCATATATTTGAATAGAGATAGTAGGAACTGCAGATGCTGGAGAATCTGAGATAACAAGGTGTAGAGCTGGATGAACACAGCAGGCCAAGCAGCATCATAGGAGCAGGAAAGCTGACGTTTCGGGCCTAGACCCTTCTTCAGAAACTTTTTTAAATGGCAGCTGAATATGATGGTAGATGGTAGGAGGTGTACATATTTCAAATTTTCCAACCAGTTTACTTCTAGAATATTTAGATAATCAGACATGTGATTTAATGAACAATTGTATATAATAAGAACAATAGGCATTAGTACTGGGGTCAAAAAACAAAGAAGACAGAAATTGTGAGCTACTTATATTGAGAAAATAAGACGAATTTGAAGCACAGAATGATAGAAAGCAATAAAGAACAAAACTAAATTAATGGAGGAGGGAACTTTATCAGTCAGGAATCTAACAGGCCATAGCATCACAGCTTTTTGTCAAAAAATGTCCTGTACAAGGTTTCTATCACCCCTAATCTGCCATCATTGGAGATTTAGAGAGGAACCACACCGGGATCTGACACAGTCAGCCTAGATAGTTCAAGTATACTTTACTATATGTTTTTTTTTAATTCTTGCATGGTTACTTAGGTGTCAGAGGCAAGCATGCGATTTGTTTCCCATCCTTAATTACACTTGAACTGAATGGCTTGTTAGGCCATTCCGGGGAATAGTTAACCATACCTTACTGTATGCCTGGAGTAACACATAGACCAGACCAGGGAAGGGTAGTAGATTTCCTTCCTTAAAGGGCATTAGCGAACCAGAATTTTTTTACAGCAATTGGCAACGGTTATGCAGTCAACATTAGACTAGCTTTCAATTCCAGATTTTAAAAAAATTTCAAATTCCACCAATAGCCACCAATAATAAAAACTGAAAGAACAACGGATGCTGTAAATCAGAATGAAAAATAGAAATTGCTGGAAAAGCTTAGCAGGTCTGGCAGTATCTGTGGAGAGAAATCAGAGTTAAAGTTTTGTGTCGGGTGACCCTTCCTCAGGATCGTCAGCGAAAAAAATGTAGACTTCCTCTTGGCATTTAATATACTGAAATAGAGAACTGTTATTTGACAAAAATGTATTTAATACAAATGCAGAGCTTCTCAGCAAGACGGTAGTACAGCACAGTCTTGTGGAGGAACAGGACAATTCAAACAAGAGCTTCACGTTTAACTGTGCATATATCTGTCACTATTATTTCTACCATATTGTTACAGCTTTCAATAAACTACTCCACAAAGTAATCACCCTTCAATTATAGATAACAAGGTGTAGAGCTGGATGAACACAGCAGGCCAAGCAGCATCAGAGGAGCAGGAAGGCTGACGTTTCGGGCCTAGACCCTTCTTCAGAAAATTCCTGCTATCTCTGAAACCCTTCAATTATATTTCTTTAACAAAAAAAAATTGTAAGGTCAATTTTCCTACATTTTACTGATGAGAAAATGCTCACTTTCCTGAATAAAAATGTCAGGGCAGAGTAGTGGATTTGAATTATTTGGTCAACATGTTTTTGATCATTTCTAAGGGTTCCCCGGGGGCAGGCCAAAGATTTATTCAGGGATAGATTTCAAGTGAAGATAAAAGAAAGGATGTAACTATAAAGAGATGTGCAAAGCAGAAGTAGTTTCTCACTTCAGCTTCAGTACTTGCAGGAGATCTTTATCGGCAGCTTGAAGATCTGCATTTGTCACAAAAAAAGCAGCTCCATAACCAGAGATAGTAGGAACTGCAGATGCTGGA